TGTGTGTGTGTGTGTGTGTGTGTGTGTGTGTGTGTGTGTGTGTGTGTACAAATCTGCATATAAGGAAGGGAGCTAGTGGTTGTGTTGAGAATAAGACCAGGTAAATAGGGTGAAAATGCCTTTATGGAAATATATGAGCTAGAATAGTAACCAGGCAGCCCTTTATCTGGCTCAGGTGTATATGGTGGGAGACATTAACTAGGAAGCCTTGAGAGGGAAATTCTGATCACTGGCACCTCCAAAACTATGTAAGTAGGAAGTCTTCAAGATATTGAAGCTCCCCGTAAGAGCAGGAAGAAAAAAAGAGCTTGTACAGTTGGCTCAGTGGCTCCTTGAATGAAGTCTTAGTGTTTTATTGCTGTGAAAAGACACCATGACCACAGTATCGTAGGGTTTCTACTGCTATGAAGAGACACCATGACCACACAAGTCTCAGAAAGGAAAACATTCCTGGAACTGGCTTACAGTTTCAGAATCCATTATTGTCATAGCAGGTAGCATGGCGGCATGCAGACAGGGTGTTGGAGAAGGAGCTGAGAGTTTTACGTATTGATCCACAGGCAACAGGAAGAGGCAATCATACTAGTCCTGGCTTGAGCATTTGAAACTTCAAAGCCTATCCCCAACAACACATTTCCTTCAAATCCACACCTTCTCCAACAAGGCTGTATCTCCTAATAGTGCCACTCTGTGGGCCTAGGGGGCCATTTTTACTCATTCTGCATTCCACTCCTTGGCCGCAGTAGGCGTGTAGCCATATCATAATGCAAAAGGCGTTTAGTCTAATTTCAAGTTCTCAGTCTATCACAGTGTCAACACTATTTAAAAGTTCAGTCTTTTTTTGAGACTCATGCAATCTCTTAACTGAAATTCCCTGTAAAATAAATCAAAATGAAAAACCAGACCACATACTTCCAACATACAATGTCATAGGATATACATTACCATTCTGAAAGAGAGCATAGTGAGGATATACCAAAGCAAGACCAAAAACCAGCTGGGCAAACTGCCTTTGACATCATGTCTGATATTAAAATGATCTTCAGATCTCCAACTCCTTTTATCGTTGTTGATTAAAACACACTTCTTTCTCTTGGGCTGGTCACTCTCTGTTAGCAGCTTTCCTTAATAGGTATCCCTCAGTTGTAGCATCTCCAACATTTTGGAATCTTCAAGGCAATCTAGGCTTCACATTCACAGCTTCACACAATGGCCTCTCTAGACCTCCATGCAGGGATACCCCTGACGTATACCTGGCCTCAATGGCTTTCCTTAGCCATGGAGGGAGATTCTATAGATTTCTTTTATACTTGACTCTAAAGTCTGAACTATGGCAAATTCTGCTGTTTGCTGGGCCTGGAACATGGCCCCCTTGTTCAAATACATCTTCACCAGCTGTTTTTAATGGTTTCCTTCACTACCTTATTTAAGCTTGGCCATCCTGGAACTCTCTGTATAGACCTGAGTTATTCTATCTGACCTCAGACTTTAATCTGTTTATCTCCTTGAACACCAGACTTAGCTCCATTCTACTTCCTGGTGCCCCTTTTCTCCTTGAACTGTGTATTTTTTCTTGCCCAGCTTGCTCCTTTTCATTATAGATCTTTATAAGAGTGAATACTAATAACCACATGACAGTCAGTACTAGGCTATTTGAAATTTCCTCTGCCAATGCCAATCCTAAACTCTTCAATTTAGCCTCAGGCAGACTTTAGACAAGGGCAAAAAGGAACCACATACAAATATTCTCTGAAACCTCTTGAGCCAGTCTTCCACAGTTCAAATCACCCTCAGCACCACTGTATTCTATGCTCCTACCAAAATTTCCCATTAAGTTCCACTTAAGACATTCAACTACTTTATTAATCCACATTCAAAACAAAAACAAAACCCATGGTCAGGCCTATTTCAGCAATGCTCCAGTCTCTGGTACCAACTAGTGTTAGGGTCGGTCTTTCTTTCTTTCTTTCTTTCTTTCTTTCTTTCTTTCTTTCTTTCTTCCTTTCTTCCTTTCTTCCTTTCTTCCTTTCTTCCTTCCTTCCTTCCTTCCTTCCTTCCTTCCTTCCTTTTTTTTTCAAAGACTTATTCATTTCATTTACATGAGTAGACTATAGCTATCTTCATACACACCAGAAAAAGGCATCAGATCCCATTACAGGTGGTTGTGAGCCATGATGTGGTTGCTGGGTATTGAACTCAGGACCTCTGGAAGAGTAGTCAGTGCTCTTAACTGCTGAGCCATCTCTCCAGCCCATTAGTTAGGGTTTTTATTGCTGTGAAGATACACCATGCTACAGCGACTCTTATAAAGGAAAACATTTAGTTGAGGCTGGCTTACAATTTCAAAAGTTGAGTCCATTATTGTTATGGCAGAAAGCATGGTGGCATGTAAGCAGACAGGGTGCTAAAGAAGGAGCTGAGAGTTATACATTTTAATACATAGGAAACAGGAAGAGACAGTCACACTAGGCTTAGCTTGAGCATCTGAGAACTCAAAGCTTGTCCCCAGTGACACATCTCCTTTAACATGGCCATAACTCCTAATAGTACCACTCTCTATGGGCCAATGGGGGCCATTTTTATTCAAACCACCATATTTGGCAACTTGTTTGTTTGGGGGGGCGTTGTTTTTTGTCTTATTTTGAGACAGGGTTTCTCTTTGTAGTCCTATCTGTCCTGGAACTTGTTCTGTAAATCAGGCTGGCCTTGAACTCCCATGTACTGTGATTAAAGGTCTATGCACTACCACCCAGCCGTGGCAACTCCTATTAGAAAAAGCATTTACTTAGGACTTGTTTACAGTCTCAGAGGTTTAGTCCATTATCATGGTGAGCAGTATGGTGGTGCGTAGGTGCTGGAAAAGGAGCTGAAAGTTCCACATCTGTACTCACAAACATTAGAAGAGAAAGACCCTGGGCTCAGCCTAGGCTTTTGAAAACCTCAAACCAATCCCAGGGATATACTTCCTTTAACAAGGCCACACTTCCAAATCTTTCTCAAGCAGTTCCACTCACTAATGATTAAATATTTAAATATATGAGCCTGTGGTGGTCATTCTTCATTCTTATTCAAACCACCACCACCAAAAGAAAACAAACAAACAAACAAAACGAAACAAAAAAAAAAATGGAGCCAGTGAAATGACTTAGCAGGTAAAAGTGCTTGTCATGCAATCCTGACAACCTGAATTCAGTTCCTAGAACCTATGTAAAAGGTAGATGGAGAGCACTAACTTCATAAAATGTTTTTCTATTATATGGGCCATTGGCACACACACATTCAATAATAATAATAATAAATTGTAACCGCCTGAGCTGCCTCACATTTGGGGGCCACTTTGTAACAGCCCATTCTGCTGCTCTGGTTCGAGGGTCAGGGTCTAGCAAGAGAGTGGGGATGGGGATGGAGACTCGAAGAATGGAGACAAGACAGGGAGTCTGATCAAGTCTCGTTTATTGAAAGGAAATCCTGAGTATTTATACCCTTTAGCACGTGCCTTGCCCTCGTGGACAAGCACAGCTGAAGGCACTACGTCATGTGCCTTGCAGCGTGGATATCACGTGTGCCTAGCAGCGTGGAGACCATGTGCACCTTGCAGCTGGTGGCACTAAACAGCAAAACAAGATACGTGAGAAAAACAACATGTTTATCAGAGTGTGCTCAGCTGTTGCGGGCTGTTGAAAACAAATCTCTTGTCAGGGTATGTGGCTCGAGATGGCTGCAAAGATGATAGCTGCTTTCGGCTAGAAGTCGGCTCCCAACAAATAATATAAATTTAAACTGAAATCCTATATAGCCAGGCATGGTGACATATACCTCTAGTCTCAGGAGATAGAGGCGAGCAGATCTTGAATTTGAGGCCAGCCTGAACGAAATAGTAAATTCCAAGCCAGCTATGGCTAAACAATGAGAACTTGTCTCAAATGAACAACAAGCAAAAAATAGTTATAAGCTCACCCAGGAGGTTCATAAGTCTTGACTATTCACTACCCTACTCCCCTCATTGATTTGCTTTTATAGGAGTGCTAAGTGTCTTTAGTGCTCCAATTGAGTGTCAGGAGCTCAAAATAGGCAGAAAGGCCATTGCCTTAGCAGGTGCTAAGAGTGCATCAAGTTGCAATACAGACTGTCTTGCTCTTCAGGAAAGGCTGGAGAACTGAAGTCCTGCTCAGCTCCTGCCAGGGGACAATGGGCCTGAGGTCCTGGCGCCAGGAACAACATAAGTCAGTGCCCTGCAGTTAGATAGGAGTAGTGAGCAACACGGTAAGTACATCTAGGCTAGACTGCTCAGAAAGCTGTGACTTCACAAGGAGGCTCCAAAGTATGGCAAGGTAGAACACAGGCCATGTAAAGTAGTGAGCAGGTTGGAGGCAGGGGTAAAAAGTCAAGGAGCATTTGGATGCGGGATCTCTGATGATCTGAAGGGGGCTGGGTTGGAGAGCTTGAGACCCAGTAGGGGGCTGAAGAGTATACACCTATCCATAATGTTCTGGGAAGTAAAAGGAAAGGGAGCCTGGAAGACTAGGAAAAGGGGAGCTCTCTAGGAAATGTCACTGTTGGTTGCTTTGAGGGTGACATGACCCTAAGTGGGTTTTTTTTTCTTTTTTTTTTTTAATTTTTAATTTTTTTTTCCAAGACAAAGTTTCTCTGAGTAACAGCTCAGGCTATCCTGAAACTGGTTTTGTAAACAA